CTTATTATAACTATTGAATTGTATATATATTTTAAAAGTTAATAACTTTTGTATTTTTTATCAGTTTTACATATGTAATATATCAAATTAATCTTCTTTTGATGAACTTCGGTTTAACATCCATATTGTATGTATAAAAAAAATAATTTATATTTATCTTTATAACAATAATAAAATTATTTTTAATATTAATTAAAAAATAAAATTATTTATCAACTAATATATTTATATTTCAAGTAGTTATATGATATAAGTTATAAAAACTAATATAATATAACACATGTAAGTCATAAGTAACACATATCATTCTAAAATATATAGTAATATATTTTTTTGTAAAAAAGTAAACTAAATTTAATATAGTTTCTCATTAATTTTAAATTTAAGAATAATTTTTTAACAAGCACCCGTGTAATACACGGTTGTTGTATTAGTTTATTAATAACAACACATTTCCTACCAAAAATAAAAATTACCATCATATATCTAAAATAAACCGCCCACTTATACCAAAATCGGATTTTTAATTTTTCCAACCTTATACCATTAATTGATTAATTAATCTCTAGAGGCAGAATTTTGGTTTAGATTTCAAGTAAATACATACCTTTATATATATATATATATATATCTATATATTTGTATCTATGTATAATATCTTCAAAGAAATACAAACCCTTTTAATGATAAACCACATTCATTAGATCGCGAACGAATATTGAATACTATAAAAGTATTATCAAAAATTTTTTCATCCTATTTTTTATATAATTTTCAAATTCTAATAATACTTGATGTATATTTATGCTCCATCATTTTTAAAATAAATATTATGTCAGAATTAAGATGGCTAGAGAAAATATATATGCACATGTAATTATTTTTTCTTCTCTCTACTTTATTAATATCCTATAAAATAATTTTATTTTTTTATTCTTAAATAAAAAAAAGTGTTAAATTTTTAAAATTGTCATAGGTATTCTAATAATAAATCAAATTGTAAATAAAATTATATTTATAAAATTAAATTTAATTTAAAATAGAAGTATATTATTTAAAAGTTGCAAAGTTTAATCTTCATGGGTAATTGATTGATAAGTTATTAATTATCACCATATACTCATTATTTCTTTTTTTCTACAATAATTTATACGGTGTTCAACAAATCGTTAATTTATCCTATGTATATTTGTTAGTCGATATTTCTTTATACTATTTTGTATGTTATGAATATTATGTAGTAGACATTTATATTTCATTTTATGAGATAACTTTATGCACTTAAAAATTTTCTATATTCCAACGAAAAATTCAATGGTAATATATTTCAATAGAAATATCAACTGATATTTCAATGGTATAGCTTACATTGAAATGATAACAACGAAGATTCGAATGAAAATATTCCATTAGGATTTTAGAAGGAATTTGACGGTTCCAACGGCTATTTTTCTAGAGATTTATTACGGTATGAATTCTATTAGAATATGCAATTTTTCGTTGAAATTTGTATTTTTCACCCATGTTTCAGTTGTTGAAATTGTCAAAATCTAATAGAATACTCATTCCAACGGAATATTTTACTAAAATTTTCATGATAATCTATTGAAAAATTTAACATCAATAATAGTATTATCAATTGAAATTGTTATTAGAATTCTATAGGAATATTATTTCGCTGAAATTTCATCATTTCATGTACTGTTAGTCTCATTTGTTATTTTTAAATCAATATTGATTGTTATAACTTATAAGCTTAAGTTTTATTATAGAATTATAATAATTATATATTATTTTATATGTACAATATGGATATCATATATTAAATATTAAAAAAATATCAATACAATACTTTGTATGTAAACAACAAAGAAAAAAATAAACTATTAAGGTTTATATAAAAAAAAAGGATATCGATATTTAATAAGATGTCAAAACTAAAAAAAGAAGAAAAATGGATTACCATAAATATGTTGATTATTTATGGTCATGTTACATGTATTAATTGCATTTTAATATCATTCCTTACTATAAGTATTGAATTGTATATATATATTTTAAAAGTTAATAACTTTTATATTTTTTATCAGTTTTACATATGTAATATATCAAATTAATCTTCTTTTGATGAGCTTCAATTTAACATCCATATTGTATGTATAAAAAAAATAATTTATATTTATCTTTATAACAGTAATAAAATTATTTTTAATATTAATTAGAAAATTAAATTATTTATCAACTAATATATTCATATTTCAAGTAGTTATATGATATAAGTTATAAAAACTAATATAATATAACACATGTAAGTCATAAGTAACACATATAATTCTAAAATATATAGTAATATTTTTTTTTTTTTTTTGTTTTTTTTGTAAAACTAAAATTAATATAGTTTTTTCATTAATTTTAAAATTTAAGAATAATTTTTTAACAAGCACCCGTGTAATACACGGGTGTTGTACTAGTAACATAATACACAATAAAAAATAACATCATTTTTTTATTCTAACACTAGAATTGTTTTGTGAGAACTCTACCATCATGTATATATTTCGTTGTTGGTTAACTTTTTCCATTTTCAACTATGCTTTGACTTCGAATACAATTTTTAGATAATGTGAACATGAACCAAGGTTTTGTAAAATAGATCTTGGCTTGTATCTCTTCTATATATTTTTCCTCAAATATGAATGGAAGGCTCAGTGGTTTTATCTATAATACAAGAGGTCGGAGACAAGGATATTCAATATCTCCTTTCTTATGTATTGTTGTGGTTGAAGTGTTTTCTTCTTTGATAAAATCCGCAACTAAAATTGGATATTTTAAGGGTTTGCAATTGTCTAGAGAGGGACCTCCTATTTTTACTGTTTCCGAATGATTCTTTACTTTTTTGTAAACCTGATGTTTCACAGGCCATCTTGATAGATGAGCTATTGTGAATTTCTTTAGCTTGTACAAATTTTAAGTTTGGCCGCTCATAAAAGCTATGAGATTTGACAAAGTAGATGAAAAGACAATTTCTTTAAATCGAAGTTTTGGGGGAATATCTATAAAGCAACACCAAAGGTGTTCATTGTAAAGAGCTAAGAGCATCTAGTTTGTAAACTGGAGTGATCCATTTGTGAACTTAAGTATGTTTTATAATTTGGTACATTTGGTTGATGAGTCCAATCTATGGATTTGATTAGTCACCAAATGAGCATTGTGTGTATCAGAAGCGTGGTGGTATGCTTTATATTGTGCGTAGACGGTGTTCCAATCATTGGAGACAGTGTGAAGATGTTGTCAGATGCAAGGTTATGATAATCCAAGTAGTTAGATGTGAAATACTCGAGAGAATCAACACAAATTCTTGATATCAAGAATAATAAGATAAAATATTGCG